ACACCAAATTGATGTTATTCTTAGGATAAACTGGTTATGTTCATATCAATTGTTATAATAAAACTTTTAGGTTCCTTAAGTTTGGTGATAATAGAGAGCTGATGTTGTTGTCTGCTAAGCAAGTGAATGAACTTTTAGAAGATGAAGCTTTGATGTTTGTAATGCTTGCGTCATTTCAAATTGATCGTGAAGCTACACACGTTGAATTACCCGTTGTCTGTGAATTTCAAGAAGTGTTTTTGGATGACATCAGTGATTTACCTTCAGAACATGAAGTAGAGTTTGCCATCGACCTAGTATCAGGTACAAGTCTGGTGTCAATGACTCCTTACAGAATGTCAGCTTGAGAGTTGAGTGAGTTAAATAAACAATTGGAAGAAATACTTGAGAAGAAGTTCGTTTGACCGAGTGTTTCTCTTTGGGGTGCAGCTGTGTTGTTGGTTAAGAAGAAAGATGGGAGTATGAGATTGTGTATGGACTACAGACAATTGAGTAAAGTGACTATTAAGAATAAGTATCCACTCCCGAGGATTGATGATATGATGGATTAGTTGGTGGGTGCTTGTGTTTTTAGCAAGATTGATTTGAGGTTGGGTTATCATCAAATTCGTGTTAAACTAGATGATATTTCGAAGGCTCCTTTTCGAACAAGGTATGGTCATTATGAGTACACTGTGATGTTGTTTGGTGTATCTAATGCGCCAAGTGTTTTCATGGAGTATATGAATCGAACTTTCCATTCGTATCTGGATAAGTTTATCGTGGTCTTCATCGATTATATTTTAATCTATTCCAAATATGAAGAAGAGCATACAAAGCATTTGTGAATTACGTGGCAAGTGCTGAAGGAGAAGAATTTGTATGCAAAGTTGTCGAACTGTGAGTTTTTGTTGAAGGATGTGAGATTCCTTGGCCATGTGATCTCTAGTGGTGAAATTGTTATGGATCCTTCTAAAGTCGATGCAGTGTTGCAATGGTAAATTTCGAAGTATGCGACTGGGATTAAAGTTTTCTTTGTTTGGAACGATATTATTGAAGGTTCATTGAAGGATTTTCTAAATTGGCATTACTATTAACTCAGTTGACTCGAAAGGGTCAAGCTTATGTGTGGGATGTTGCATGTGAATAAATTTTTGTAGAATTAAAGAAGAAGTTGACGACCGTTCTGGTATTAATTTTTCCTAACCCAGGTGAGCCTTTCGTGGTGTACTGTAATGCATCAAAGATGGACCTTGGTGGTGTATTGATGCCAAATTGGCAAGTTGTTGCTTATGCTTCTATATAACTGAAAATTCATAAAAGGAATTATCCTACACATGACTTAGAGTTAGCAGTTGTGGTGTTTGTGATGAAGATTTGGAGACATTACCTTTTTGGCTCTAATTCGAAGTGTTTAGTGATCACAAAATTTTAAAGTACTTGTTCAATCAGAAGGAATTGAATATGAGGCAGAGAAGATGGATTGGGTTGTTAAAAGATTATGACTTTGATCTGAGTTACCATCCTGGTAAAGCGAATATGTTGGCCGATGCATTGAGTAGGAAGTCGTTGCATATGTTAATGATTATAGTTCGAGAGTTAAAAATGATTGAACAATTCAGGAATATAAGCTTGGTGTGTGAAGAAACTCTTAATAGTGTAAGGTTAGGGATGTTGAAACCAACTAGTGGTATTTTAGAAGAAATTCGAGAAGGTCAGAAGTCTGAGTCGAAGTTGGTTGATCAGTTGACCTTGATTAACTAAGGTAACGAAGGTGAGTTTCAAATTGATGAGAATGATGTGACGAGGTTCAGAAATAGAGTGTGTGTTCCAGAGCTTAAGAGAATTATTCTTGAATAAGGGCATCAAAGTGGGTTGAGTATTCATCCTGGTGCTACAAAGATGTATCAAGACTTGAAGAAGTTGTTTTGATGGCCTGGTATGAAGAAGGAAGTTGCCAAGTTTGTTTATGCCTGTTTTACTTGTCAGAAGTCAAAGAATGAGCATTATAATCCTTTGGGTCTAATGTATCCGTTGAAAATTCCGCAATGGAAATGAGTCAGTATTTTTATGGATTTTGTCTCGGGTTTGCCAAAGACTTCTAAGGAAAATGATTCGATTTGGGTGATAGAGGATAGGTTGACCAAGTCGGTTCATTTATTATCGATGAAAATCAATCATCCTATGGAGAAGCTAGCTGATATGTATATTGAGGATATTATGAAATTGCATGGGATACCTTCGAGTATCGTATCAAATAAAGATCTGAGGTTTACATCGAATTTCCTGGAAGGTTTGCATAATCCTTTTGATACTAATTTGAGGTTGAGTTCTGCATATCCTCTTCAGACAGACAGTCAGACAAAGAGAACTATTCAATCCTTGGAGGATTTGACGAGAACTTGTGTGCTAGAACAAGGAGGAGCTTGCGATAGCCACTTTCTGTTGATTTAGTTTACTTATAATAATAGTTTCCCTTCCAGCATTGGAATGGCAGCGTATGAAGCATTGTATGGTAGGAGGTGTAGGATTCCATTGTGTTAGTATGAGTTAGGCAAGAGTGTTGTGCTCGAACCTGAGATTGTACAGGAAATGACTGAGAAGATTAAGATGATCCAAGAGAGTATGAAAGCTTCTCAATGTCGTCAAAAAATTTATCACGATAAGAGGAGGAAGGCACTTGAGTTTCCAAAAAGATGATCATGTATTTTTGAGAGATACTTCAGTGATTGGTGTTGGTAGAGATTTGAAGTCGCGAAAGCTTACACCGTGTTTTGTTGGTCCATATCAGATATCAAAGAAGATAAGTGAGGTTGCTTATCAGGTTACATTACTGCCATCGCTTACGAATCTTCATGATGTGTTTCATGTGTCTCGATTGTGGAGATACATTATGGATCCTTCACATGTGATCCAAATAGATGATGTACAAGTGAGAGATAAATTGACTGTTGAAGCATCACCCGTACGGATAGAAGGTCAAGAAGTGAAGTAATTGCAGGGTAAAGACATTGCTTTAGTGAAGGTATTGTGGGGTGGACCAGTTGGAGAAAGTTTAATTTGGGAACATGAGGATCATATTAGAGAGTCTTATCTGATTTTGTTTCCCTCGGGTAATTTTCGAGGACGAAAATTGTTTTAAGTGGGGAGAGTTGTAACACCCCAAAATAATTAGATTATTCATTTAATTATTTAATTGATTTATGATGAGTATTTGTGTTGTATTTGTGAGTATATGTGATGTTTCGATGAATATGATGTGTGATGTATTGTTGATTATGTTGTGTTGTGGGGTGGAGTGTATCAAGATAAATGTGAGGATTATTTATATTTTAGATAATTAGTTTTAATTATTTAGAATTATTTTAATTAGTGAAATAGAGATAATATATGATGTAGAGATGAAGAGAGCAGTGTGGTAATACCCTTAAGGATTAGTGAGGGAAAATAGGCAAAACATATTAGGGGTCCAAGGGGTAAGTTTGATATAAGGGAAATTTGGTGTTTAGAACACTCGTTCTATACGATCGCGCTTGGAGAAGAGATAGAGAAAACAGTAGACCTAAGGCATTGAGGAACTCAAAGGGATTATGTAGAACGCGTAGGAGAATCGTTTGCTAGCTATAATCTAAGGTAACATGGGTTATCCTTATCATTATGATTGGCATGGGTTTAGGTATTGGTAGAATTGTATTTGGGATTTTGTTTGATAATTTGTGATGAGAGTGATGATTTGTAATGTGTAAAATGTCATGGAATAATGTATATGATTCCTATTATGATGTGTTATTTTGAAGTTGTGAAACCATGATGAATTGTGTAAAATTTGGACTGAATGAGTGTTGAAACCGTAATAGAATTAGACTGGTTTTGTGCATAAAACGCAACAGCAGAGTTGTTGTTTTCGCGCACTTGTCGGGCGACCCTCGCAACAACATAGACTTTGTAAAGGTCGTAACTTGAATTTCCAGATTTTACAGCGAAATTTGTCAGTATATTACGAGGATGAAACTACAAGCTTGTATATTACGAGGATTTGTCGGTATATTACTGGTACGTCCACTCATGAGTTGATCTAATGCTATAACTTAAGCTTGATCCTAGTAATCTAAATATGTTTTCTGATAAGAAACCACAAGTTCGTATTGTATTCTAAAAGGATTAATACTTGCTACAAAACACGGTAAGATACAGTTAATTCTGCTTATCAGTTCATTCTCTCAAATATTTCATCAAACAACTTCTGAGCATTTTTATGATTGTCCATTTCAACACATCATTTACACAAATACAACATTTTGATAACAACTTAACAACATATATGAAGAATATACAAATAAGAGAAGTGAATGTTTGAGAGAAAGAAGACGAAGAACATGCAAAGATAAAGTCAATTTAGGTAGAGAAGCCAACATATATCCATGTATGTCCATAATTTAGCATTTCTTAGGTAAGCTCTTGGAAGAGTTGACGAGGCTACACATTTAGATTCTCTTAGAGGTAGAAATGTTTGTATTTGTAATGAGTAAAGTATAATTTTAGCCATGAGTTCCTTCCTATCCTACCCTAGACTACTAACCGTTGTTATTATTATTTTGAATAAAGTAAGAGATAATAAAAAGAAAAAGGCAAAGCTTATTCTCCCTCCTAATAAAATCAAAATAGCGGAGACCGCAACGAGTCCGTTCTCCAGAAAGCCACATGGGTAACAAGTAACTTAACGCGTTGTCTCGATTCTATCTTAAGCTATAACACCCTGCATTGCAACCTCACTCTTACTAACCTGCATCTCAATTGTTAACCTCTATTTTGACCTATTCTTTTTCCACCACCAATATTGGCGCTATATAACAACCCTCCTCTTGTCATAATTACCAAAAGTTACATACATTTCATCTCATCTCATCTCATCTCATCTCATCAGATCTCTGCAAAATCGTAACCCAAATTGCAAGGACCCTTTCTGGTTGTATCTCAAAACACAACCATTAAAGGTTCTTGCAGGATCTGATTGCTCGGCCATGGAGAAAAAGTACATATCATCAGATGAACTTTCAAAGCACAACAAGAAAGGAGATCTATGGATCTCAATTCAGGGTAAGGTTTACAATGTTTCCGATTGGGGTCAACATCACCCTGGCGGAGAGGTTGTTTTGTTGAATCTCGCTGGCCAGGATGTCACCGACGCGTTTATAGCGTATCATCCTGGTACTGCATGGAAACATCTTGACAATTTTTTTACCGGCTTTTACCTTGATGATTTTAAGGTTTCTGAGGTTTCTAAGGATTATAGGAGACTTGTTTCTGAGTTTGTCAAACTGGGTTTGTTTGAAAAGAAAGAACATGTTACTCTCTTCACATTAACTTCTGTTGCTATTATGTTTTCTATTGTTGTTTATGGCGTTGTTGGCTGTGACAGTGTTTGGGCTCATTTGGGTTCTGGGATGTTGTTGGGTTTGCTTTGGATGCAAAGTACTTATGTTGGTCATGATTCTGGCCACTACGAGGTTATGTCAAGTCGGGGTTATAATAAATTGGCTCAGATTATATGTGGAAATTGTTTGACTGGTATAAGTATTGCGTGGTGGAAATGGACTCATAATGCTCATCATATTGCTTGCAATAGTCTTGATTATGATCCTGATTTGCAGCATATCCCGGTTTTCGCGGTCTCCTCGCGCTTGTTTGGTAATATCAGATCTTATTTTTATGATAGACAGTTGAAGTTTGATGCTTTGTCTAGGTTTTTGATCAGTTATCAGCATTGGACTTTTTACCCTGTCTTGTGTTTTGCAAGGCTGAACTTGTATCTTCAGACTTTCTTGCTCTTGTTTTCGCCGACCCGAAATGTCCCTGATAGACTCTATAACATTATGGGGATTGCCGTGTTCTGGACTTGGTTCCCTCTTCTGTTGTCATGCCTACCTAGTTGGCCGGAGAGGTTGATGTTTGTTCTTGCTTGTTTTGTGGTTTGTTCCATCCAACATCTTCAATTCTGTTTGAATCATTTCGCTGCTAACGTCTACGTCGGTCCTCCGAGCGGAAACGATTGGTTTGAGAAGCAGACTAGCGGAACATTGGATATCTCTTGTTCCACATGGATGGATTGGTTCTTTGGTGGTTTGCAGTTTCAGCTTGAGCATCATTTGTTTCCAAGGCTACCTAGAGCTCAATTGAGGAAGGTTTCACCATTGGTGATTGATCTTTGCAAGAAACATAATTTGCCTTATAGAAGTTTGACATTTGTTGAGGCAAATCTCTGGACTCTCAAGACTCTCAGAACTGCCGCACTGCAAGCTAGGGATTTCACTAATGCTGCTCCACAGAACTTGTTGTGGGAAGCTTTTAATACTCATGGATGAGCTTGAGATGAGAGAAAGAAGCACGTGGATTTTGAGTTGTGCAGAGAAGGTTTCAAACTTTCTCTATTATTATCAAACATTCATGTTATTGTTATTATGTTGAATTAATGTATTGAGTTCTATTTCTCTCTTTTTTATTAGGCCTGTTTTGTTGTAATAACTGATGTTATGATCACTGTTTATGTGTGCTATAACATGTTGTTCATGTGTGTTATAACATCTGAACATAAAAAATATATTCAGGTTTTATTTTCATTTTCTTATTACCTATGTTATTCTTTTGGTTGTGTTAAATGAGTTTTACATTGGCCAAATTATGGCCTGGACACGAGTTTATAAGTTGGGGGCAATCTTCACCTTACAAACCGATCTTGTATGGATGAATTAGACTCGAACTATATTTTTTAACATGATATTAAGAGTTTCTTTTAAGATTGAAGGATCATCTGCTATCAGATTTGTACTATCAGAATACGTTCTAGATATCAAATCCTAAGCGTAAGTGGGGACAATCTTCATTTTATAAGTCAGTTTTATATGGAAGAGTCATGTCAAAACCCTGTAATTTTTTTAACAGGTTGAGTTTCAAGAACACAAGTTTGTTATTGTGTTAACTTCTCAAACATGTTTTATGGTTAATACAAGAAGATCTTTGACCAAAAGGGAACAAAAACCATAGAAAGTCCTTAAAACATTTGTGCTGTTTATTTTTCTGCTTTTTTTCTATTAAAATGAAAAAAGCTTGATTCAATACATTGTAGATGAAAACAAATTCCTCTCATTTGGGATTCCCCTGTCGGTATCATGATGATAAAAAAACAAAGTTAATGGAATCCAACCAAATATCTGCCCCATAACTTTGATTTTGCAGGTGGCATTCTAGCTTTTACTTGCATAGCATATGAATATTCTTTATGACATTCTTAGCAATTGTTTCTCTTTTAAATCTTGACATCTATTTTGTGCCCTCTAAAAGAATGGTATGTTTCCTTTTATTGGGTGCTCCTCTCCTATCACACACCCTTCTATTTCTTTTTAGGTTAAATGTTACTTTTTATTTTTTGATTTTTTTTCTTAAAATCAAATTTTAAGGTACTTCAGTTATCATATTTATTGTAAGTTTGGCCAAAATTTAGATTTTGAATCCATAAAATGGTGATTTATTAAATATCATTTTTAGGCTTTTAGCACTAATAATCACCTTTTTTAGGCTTTATAAATTTTTGGAATAAAAATTATGTGTTGGATTAAAACAGAAAGATTAAATGTGGAATTAAACCTTCTTTTATAATGTCTTTTTTTGAAATAAAGGTTTTTATCATTTTTAGGCTTTTAGCACTAATAATCACCTTTTTTAGGCTTTATAAATTTTTGGAATAAAAATTATGTGTTGGATTAAAACAGAAAGATTAAATGTGGAATTAAACCTTCTTTTATAATGTCTTTTTTTAAATAAAGTTTTTTTTTTATACTAAAAAAGAGATATTCATGCATTCAAATTAAAAAATACATAGGGTAATACTAACATATGTTTATAGACCTAAAAAGAAAAAGTTTTTATTGAGAAAAAACAATGAAAAATTAATTATAAATTTTTAATAAATGCAATACATAATTTCCACAAAAAACACATTGAAGTGAATATGTTAATCTAACTAACAACAAAACGATAAAAATTTAAAAACACAAAAAAAAAAAAAATCTACGTAAATAATCATTTATTTGAATTAAAAAAAGAGAAAAAAGAAATATTGAAAAGTGATTTTAACTCAAAAATAGCCAAAAACCACCCTCTAAAATTAAAGATGGAAAAGAGAAAAATTTTTTAAAAAAGATTCCATCGTGTTTAAAAGAAAAAATAAACCCTTTTAATTTTCTTATTTTTGTACATAAACAAAAATAGCATGAATATATTTAGTAATATATCTTATTTAATGATCATCCCCTCATAACATTAAATGGTTAATATAGAAATATTTTTGTAACAATTAAATATTAATAATAAAAAAATTAAATAACATTTGCTTATACCTTTTTCTTTTGGACACATCATTTGCTTATACTTAAACTAACAAATATATATTTGTTCTTAGTTTTATAACTATGGCCAAAGGCTGTGTCAAAACAAAAAAAAAAACCAAAGGTGCAAAGTTGGTTGAAAATTGTTTGTGTTATATTTCTAAAACTTTTTACTTAACCGATACTTCTGGATTACCTTAGGATAAAGCGACGAAGGTCGGTCGAAGAGAGATATCATCTTGCTTTTATGTTTTTTTTTCATTTATAGAGAAAATAATATAGGATGTTTTTTTTCATTTATAGAGAAAATAATATAGGATAAAATGTATCTTGGATAAAGAGAAACTCAGAATCGCACTGACTTATATCTTCTTTAAAAATAGAGATTCAACCGACTATTATTTGATGAAGTGTAGAGTAATTTTTTCTGAGAAAATTCTAAGTGCTGGAAGCTCCTATAAATATACATTCTCTCGAAGAGATGAACACATACTCTATGACATACACAATCTCCACTATTCAAAGAGCACCACGCTGATAACCACCTTTAACGTATTCAACCTATCTAACCATCCGTCGGCAATTTAATAGCACCGATAACCTACAAAATCTTTCACCTCTCACCGAACAGGTCCCTTAAACATTCTCAAAAACCGTCATACAAGACAACTCGTGAATTAGTCTCTATCATCTAAAATCCTTGTAGAAAAAATACGCACACCTTATATTTTTTTATCATTACAATTGTCTTTTATCTTCTCAATTATTCTCACTGTCTAATATAAATTTTATTATTACAACTTTATTTTTTTAAGAAACCAAATGCAATAATATAAAAAAGCACAAGAAGTAATAATGTCTTACAACTGCAATACAGGTACAAGTCAAACATAAGACCAAACAACACCCTAAAAAACCATCAAAATACACTTACTGAATCGAGAAATTGATTGGTCATATGTTTGAGACTTGTATGGGCCATTTTGCTTTAATTATTTTTATTTGTTTCTATATATTATATTTTGCAACCTTTTACCCACTTAACTAATTTAACGAGATTATATTATAACATTTTACTATGAAGATAAACATTAGAATATATATGACCCTATGAGAAAGGAAACGATTAACTAATGGTTACCTGAAAAAGTCCAACGAAGATTTAAAATAAGAAGATAACTCTAATAAACATCCTTTTTCCATAGGTGCATCTATACAAAGGACGTGCTGGTCGTTTTTTCATGAGTTGCAATCTTTCTGCTTCCACCTTTAAAGTGTATACATCCACCATTGTGACACCAAGATGTGATTAATAAGTTAGCATATGCAATATCTAGATTTCACATTGGACTGGGATATATTTGATAGAGGACTAAAGTTCCTGGTACACAATTTCTCCAACATTTAAGTAACAGGGCGAATACTTTAGTAGGTGTTGATAACGGATTAGTGAAAACAAGAATAGCCACTGAGAATTTTATCGGGTCGAGTCGCGGTTCAGTACGCTTTCTTTAAGACGTTTCGCCGGATGCCAACAAAGTGCAAGGCAGTCGATAATAGGCGACGTCTCCAGGATAAAACAGCCCGTTCGAATAAAATACGATTATCACTTGCACTGTGATTAATCGTTCGATGAATAACACTTTCTGATGGTGTAGAAACCACTCGTAGTATCTGCCAAGAAGCAGTCGAAAAAACAGAAAAGAACAAATAATTGAGATGAAGCAGTAAAGAGAGAGAGAAGAAAAAATTCGAGATATAGAATTCTGGAGTTATTTGCAAATGAAATAAGCACGGATCCAACAAAACGGTTCGAAAAAGTAGGAAGAACGTGGGAGAGGGTGGAATTGGCCCAGTCAAAAGTGACCGTTATTGCTTGGTCAGACAGTCATGCATTTTGACTCTTGGAAGACAAGTAATTGACACGTCACTAATTCCGTAATTAATTAATATTAAATATTAATTAATTTCCATTATTTTTAATTAATTAATGCTAATTAATTCCACCGAATTAATTAATTATTAATAATCATTAATAATTAATTTTTCACCAAAATCCGGTTCAAAAAGTTAATTCATCTAGACCGAACCGAACCGAACCGAACCGAACCGAACCGAGCCGAGCCGGCCGGCCGGTCGGACGGACGGACGGCGGCGGCGGCGCGCGCGCGTGTGTGTCTAGATGACTTAGTGGTGTGTCCTCACTCCTTAACAAAATTGGGGTGCCCCTTGGGGCCCAACCCAAGTGTCCAAGTTGGAGTATTTATGCACTACTAGAAGTTGTGTTCCCTCCAATGTGGGACTAAAATGAATCCTTTCAAATTCACTCACAACCTAGTTCATTCATGTGCTCATTTATTGCCCATTTAATGTCAATGAATCATTCCAATTCCCAATCCAAGTTATCATCATTCCAAGATTTCCAACAATCCCCCACTTGAATTTAAAAGGTGATTTTAGAGGTAACGTCAGACGTTTCTAAGATTGTGCATAAGCAAAGGTGTCTATGACTTGAACCTTTGCGTAGCAAGTAGGATTCTGATTCAACAAGAGTGACACAATTGTCTTGAACTCTATCGCAGACATCAGACCCGCACACAACCTTTTCTTTAAGGTGTATTCTAATAGCCCGTGCTTTAATGGCCCTGCACGTGTATCCCGGTTTAGTGAAGGCTCTAGGAATTTTGCCTCGCAATTCCATAGGAACCGACCCAAGTTCCATAATCACCAAGGTGAGTCTATCAAGAGTACTCCTGTAGTCTAGGTACTCCCTCATACAGAGTATAGATCTCATTAAGAGTTTCTATTATCTCAACCTCTTATTACTTCAGGAATCATGCTTCTCTTGCATGATCATCTCATATCACTCACAACTTGTTATTACCCATTGAACCTATTTCTTGGGATCTCCAGTCATTTAGGTCGGGTTACCATTGTGAGCAACTCATATTCATATAGGCATTAGTCTCATCTTATATGAT